GGAAGGAAGGAAGGAAGGCAAAGGTCAGAGAAAAGAGAAAGGAGGCCTGAGTCTGGGGCAAGAAAATAAGATGAGTAAATTATGAGCCCCTCCCTGGTTCACGTGAAGCCCATTCAGATGTGCAAGTTTCTGTTACTATAGCTTTGCAATAGTGTAAAAGTAGTATTGACGTACATGCCTTACTTCTTTAGCCTGATCTACCTTAAAGGGCTGACATTCAAAACCACTAACAGGTAACCTCAGGGATCCGTACATCTCTTTAACCCTCTAAAGAGAAAGGTAAAAGATTCCCCTGTCCAGTTGTGTTTGACTATAGGGGGCACTGCGCATCTCGGTTTCTTAGTTGAGGGACCCAGTGTTGTCCGAAGACGTTTCCGTGGTGGCCAGCATGATGATATCCTGAGGCACCCAGAACGCTCTTCCTTTCCAACCAAAGTGATACCTATTGATCGACTTGCATTTGCATGCTTTCAAACTGCGAGGTGGGCAGGAGCTGGAGCAAGGGACAGGTGCTCACCCCATCGTGTGGCACTGGGGTCTTGAAAAGCTCAGCGTCTTTTAACCCCTGAACCATCGTGTCCCTGTAACCCTCTGTGAGAACATAATCAGTATGGTTGGAGTCCAACTGGAAGGAAGCTACAGCTTGCTTCATACCAAACAAAATAAATGATATTGTTATGTACCCTCTGAGATAATTTAGCAGAAAAAAAAAACCTTTCTACAATATAAAGGCATGAAGGACTTAGTTAATCAGATTTCTAATAAGGGCGACAAACCTGAATGTCCTGCGAGACCTACGTCTCTCACAGGAAGATCTTCCGACGTTTCATCCGCTGTGCCAGACATAGTTGAGGTCGAAATGGCACTGCACTGCTAATTTCCTTCCCTGTGGATAAAACAAACGACACGCAGAACAGAGCAAATTACATTACATTACTAAAGGAGAATATTTATAGATAGGACTGAAATGAGGGGTCCTTGGTCTCTAGGCCTTTTCGGTGCAGATATCACCTTGGGGGCCACCTTCGGTGCAGATATCACCTTGGGGGCCACCTTCGGTGCAGATATCACCTTGGGGGCCACGATGTTCCAGAGAGTGGGAGCCACGGCAGAAAAGGCTCTTCTCCTGGACCCTGCCAGCCGGAATTCCTTGACTGACAGGGTCCACCACATCCCTTTTCTGCCAGCGTGGTTGGGACGGGCTGATCCCATCGGAGTGAGATGGCTCCCCAGATAATTTGGACCATGAAGGGCTTTTAAAGATGGTAACCAACACATCAAAACGGATCCAGAAGCAAACTGGCAAGCAGGGCAGCTCGCCAACAGCTGTATCTACATAGCTGCATTCTACACCAGCTTCCAAATACTCTCCAAGGGCAGCCCCAGGTAGGGCATGTGGCAGTAGTCCAACCGTGAGATGACCAGGGCTTGGGTGCCGGAGAGCAGGGAGGGTGCAACTGATGCACAACATGAAGAAATGGTACAGGGTCCCCTTCTTGAGCAGCGGGTTGGACTAGAAGACCTCCAGGGTTCCTTCCAACTCATTATTATTATTATTATTATTATTATTATTATTATTATTATTATTATTATTATTATTGATCATCACAGCCAGATGTTCAGACTGGATTTGGCATTTTTGTCTACCTATCGAGTCCTTACCAAGGACCTGGGATAGGCAGATGTGTTGTTGTTGTTGCTGTTGTTACTATTACTATTATTATTATTATTATTATTATTATTATTATTATTATTATTATTATTATTAAAGAAGTTGTGCCAAGACCCTTCTAGCCACGACCGCCACCTGTCCTAAAATGGGGTAATGCTCACTTCACCAATGTCGTCTCTAGCAGCAGAAACGTTGGGCTCAACTGTGTCATAATTCGAGGACAACCTGGGTGTGTATTTGTGAATCCGTAGCCTGCAGCACTTTATACCCACCCACAATCTCAGAGGTTACTCCCTTCCTTTTAAGAATCCCAAATCTTTCAGAAAAATGCATCAGGCGTCCCCAGAAAGCCAAAAATCAATCAATCAATCAATCAATCAATCAATCAATCAAACAATCAATCAATGCAAAATCACCTACAGATGCTGCATCCGATCTCTTTCCTCCGGGCCGGCCTGCATCTCCTCCTCCGCCAGGCTCCTCCGCAGAGTCTCTGCCCGGCTCACAGCCGCCTTCCTCTCCTTCCTCCTCCTCCTCCTCCTCTTCCTCGCCGCGTCGCCTTTCCCCGTTAGCAACCGTCTCCGTTGCTACCTCCAACGTCACTTCCACCCGAGGAAGCCCTTCCACAGGGAGGCGTTTTCCCCGCCTTCCCCACCGCGTCGCCTTCTGGGAGTTGTATTTCTCTCCCGCGGAATCTTCGCTTTCCCGCCGTGGCACGCAAACTACGCTTCTGCCGCGTTTCCGGGAATTTCACTGCCGGCGGAAGCCGCCGCGGGGCAGCTCGGGAGTTGTGGTTCCGAACTGCTAAGAGGCTGTTTCTCGACGGTTTCAGGGCGGGAGGCGGGTCGGGCTCCTTCGCACGTGGGGAAAAGCGGCAGGAACTCGTCCCCGAAGGCCATGAGGAGGACTCGGGCGGAGGAAAGAGAGAAGGAGGCGAAGGTAAAGCTTGGCAAAAAAAAAAAAAAAGCAGCCACAGCAAAGTCGCGCATGCTCAGCCCGCCAAAGCCGAACTGATGGGCTTGCAAACCCAGTTTGCAAATTCAGCGTGCAAATTTCGGCTTTGGGTGGGAAAGAAAAAGGGGAGAGGAGAGAATTGGGACCGTGCAAGCCTCAAACGCAAGAGCTTAAAGCAGGGCTCTCCAAACTTGGCAACTGGTGGACTTCAACTCCCAGAATCCCCCAGCCAGTACAGGCAGTCCTCGATATACGACCACAATGGAGCCCAACTTTTCTGTTGCTAAGACATGGGCGAAGTGAGTCTTGCCCCCATTTTACGGCCTTTCTTGCTACGGCTGTTAAAGTGAATCCTTGGCCTTTTAATATATTTTCTTCTCCAGCCAATTTGGGGAAGGTTGCAATTAATTTTTACACTATTGTTTTCATTATTATATTTTTATTATGTATTTTTATATAATCATAAACATATTCCCCTTCATTGGTACCACATAAGGTTGCAATTGTTCCTCCAGCAAGATTGGTAACTTTGTCATCCCGTATATGTTTACTAACAAAAACTGCAACAAGTAAGACTAGTTGGATGTTGTTATTAGATTGTGTTTGCTTTGGTCAACTTAGTTTCCTTTCAGTTTCCTTCCGAATTAAGATTCACTGGGATAATCTAGTTTTTTTGCAGCCAGAGTTTCTGAGAGCTCCTACTTTAGAGGAAGTAATCAGTTGAATATTGATTACAAGGTGGATTCATCAAGCTAACCCCCATGAAGTTGTGTCAGTGCAAGAGTCGGTTTTACAAATCATAATGGAGGGCTTGGAATGTGGAGTGAACTTTGCCAGCCTCCAATTGTTCAAATGTTTAAGCAAATCAAACTTTCAGAAGAGGTGCTACAACCATGTGAATTAAAGAGCATACAGGAGAGAGGAATTTACGTTCTATTAAATGTTGTGGAGCACTCAAATATTTGCATGGTCAATGATGAAGCTTCTAGAATAGTGTTTCCCAACCTTGGCCAATTGAAGATAAGCAGACTCCCAATTCCCAGAATGCTCAGAAATAGCTGTGGAATTTTAGAAGTTGAAGTCTACGTACCTGGAAATTGCCACGGTTGGGAAACTCTGTTCTAGAAGTTCAACAATAGGACTTCAGGTTTCATATCTCTGGAGCAGGACATACATAGTCTTTCCAGTGGCTTCCAGGTTCTTCTGTGTAGAATATGGATAGTCAACTTGTTTTTACAAATTTAGACAATATCAGAACCATGTTATGCCATGGCTGAGGAACATAATCTGTCCCAGGAATGAGGTTCTCCCTTGCTGGACTTCATGACGACGTGGTAAAGGCTTTGGAGTACTACTGGACTTTTCTTTGAAGACGTTTCGCTTCTCATCCAAGAAGCTTCTTCAGCTCTGACTGGATGATGGGGAATGGAAGGGAACCCACCATCCAGTCAGAGCTGAAGAAGCTTCTTGGATGAGAAGCGAAACGTCTTCAAAGAAAAACAAGAAAGTCCAGTTGCCTCGTGAAAAAGCATCTTTGGGACAACCATGACCTGGATGACTGAGAATCCCCATAGACACTTTGAAGTATTGGGTGCTCCTACTGGAACCACTTTGGCCTTGATTTTCCACATCTTCTCTAGTTCCTCCTCCAGGGGCTGGTGCTTCTCCAGCTTCTCATGCTCCTTCCTGATGTAGCTGTCACTTGGCACTGCTACATCAATCACCATGTTGTCTTCTGGTCCTTGTCTACTACCACAATGTCTGTTTAATTGCCCAGTACCTGCTTGTCTGTCTGGATCTAGACATCCCACAGGATTTTAGCCCTCATATTCTCCTCAAAACCTGTGTGGAATGTCCCATCTGGACTCGGGAAGGTATAGCCCATATGCTATACGAGCCGGTTGCCAAGAAACTGAATTTTGATCACATGTCCAGGCAGATGTTGCAACGGTTTGTAAGCGTGAAAAGCTATTATAAGTCACTTTTTTCAGTGACTTATATATATATAAATAAAGAATACACACACACTAACATATACATTGTGTGACTCAGTGTGTGTGTGTATAAAAGTTAAAAACGAAAATTGACTGCTCGGAAGGGGCCAGGACGCTAAGCCGTTGGTCCCCAGCCCTATTACCGAGACAGCTTGTTGAGGAATAACGCACATCGGGTGCAATGCATCACCTATGGTTTGGAAACAATGCCCTGATTCAGGAGGGCGAGCCGATGAAAGGTAAGATGGAGAGCGTGGCAAATGCTCTCTGTTTTAAAATTCATCACGGCCGATGCCGGCTCAGATTGCCCCAGCTGTTAACGCTGGAACCATTACAATAATGGCTTTTGTAAATGAAGGAGAACTAACACATACACACCTCTTGATTACCAGAGGGGTAATTTTCTCTTCATCGGTAATGGCAGCCGAGTCTCGTATTGATCAGCCCATCAAGATACTAATCCTCTGTAAAATTACTTGTTATAACTGGAAATGTGTTAATCCAAGGCGGACTCTCTGCTCGCTATTGAGCGCAGGCCGTTAGGTGGTTGATTTTTCATGATTTAAACCGTCCTGGCCTCAATAACCGTTGGATCTTCTTCGGCGAGGACAGGGCCGCTGGGTGGACAGGCGCTTAATCTTTGCACTTAGCCCAAGGATGTCCTTCTGTTGTTGTTGTTTTTTTCCTTTTGGGTTTTTTTTTTTAAATGGTCTTTTTAATTAAGGAGCCAGGTTTGTCTTGCTGAGTTATGCCCAGGCTCAGATTTATTAAGCAGCTAAATGTAAACAGGAGAGAAACTTCTGCAGGAACACGTTCCGGTGTGCTATAAATATGCTTAGGATGTATCTTGCAAGTGCTTAAGCATCTGCCAATACAGGCGTCTTCGATTTACGACTACAATTGAGGCCAAATTTCTGTTGCTTAGCAAGATTGTTGTTAAGTGAATCTTCCCCAGTTTATGACCTGCAGTTCTTAAGTGAGTCACAGGGCTGTTAAGCTCCTCTGGCATTTCCCCATTGACTTTGCTTGTCAGAAGGTGAGAAATGGGGATCACAGGACCTCGCGATACTGCAACCGTCGTAAATATGAGTCAGGTGCCAAGCGGCTGAATTTTGATCACGTGACCCTGGAGATGCTTCAGCGATCGTTAAGTGTGGAAAACGGGCATGAGTCACTTTTTTCAGTACCATTGTAACTTCAAACAGTCACTAAATAGACTGTGCAAGGGTGATCAGCAAGCCTTGGAAGAGATAGCGATAATAATAAAGTTGAAAGGGACTTTGGAGGTCATCTAGTCCAACCCCCTGCTCAGGCAGGAAACCCTATACCATTTCAGACAAATGGTTGTCCAGTCTCTTCTTCGAAACTTCCAGTGTTGGAGCATTCACCGCTTTTAGAACAATTGATCAGTGGAACAACCTGCCTCCAGAAGCTGTGAGTGCTCCAACACTGGGAGTTTTTAAGAAGAGACTAGACAGCCATTTATATGAACTGGTATAGGGTTTCCTGCCTGAGCAGGGGGTTGGACTAGATGACCTCCAAGGTCCCTTCCAACTTTATTATTATTATTGTTACCTCTTCCAAGGCTTGCTGATCACCCTTGCACAAAGTCCATTTATAGTGAATGTTTGAGGTAAGGATCTTCTTTCTTCGTTTCAAGCACTGGTCATCTTTGGCTGAAAAGAGGGATTCTCAAGTCAGTGCAATGATATTCACAACTTTAAGAATATTATGAGGGGCAGACAGCAGTGGGTTTTAATAAGTTACGTCAAGATTTATGGACACAGGTACTCCTCTACTTCATTCTTTTTTAGGGACCGTTCAGAATTAAAACGGCAGTGGAAAAAAAGTGACTTAGGATCGTTTTTCACACTGATGGTCATTGTAGCATACCTGTGGTCAAAATCTGGATGCTTGGCAACCGATTCATATTCGATCCCTTTTTGCAGTCTTCTGACAAGCAAAGTCAAGGATTCAGCTCAGAACTGCGTTGCAGATTGCAACCACGGTCATTCACTGCACAATAGTGGCAAAGGGAGGTCGTAAAACGGGGCAAAAGGGGCAAAAGTCGCTTAACGACTGTCTCACTTAACCATGGAAAATCTGGGTGTCAAACTCAATTTCATTGAGGGCCGCATCAGCATTGTGGTTGCCCTCGGGGGGGGGGCGGGAGTGTATGGCCAGGGTGGGTGCAGCCTACTGGGTGGGCATGGATGGAGTGGGTGTGGCCTACTGGGTGGGCGTGGCCAGCTCTACATCATTCGCATCAAGGGGGCCTGTGGGGGCCTGGGCAGGAGTGGGACAGATCTGAGGGTCTCTGGCAGAAGGGGGTGGGACCGGGGCAGATTTTATCAAGCCGGATATATGAAGTAGGCGAGGGCCATTTGCTGGCCACTTCCAGGCAATGATGCATTTCTTCATTCCTCACAAAGGGTGACACCTCCCCAGCATGCACCCAGGGGGTGGGGCCGACACTGTTTCCAGACGGCCTTGTGGAGCTAAGACTGAATGCATTTCAGCATAGATGGTCACCACAAAATTGTAC